AGTGCCTTGACCCACTTATTTCCCAGCTCCGCCCTCCAGCAGGATACCACTTCACTTCTACCAAATGCCTTCAGAATTAATCTCCCATTGTCCGACCCATGACCTGACAGCTTGTATCTGATGCTTTCTTCTCTCCTGTGATTCCAAACACGTCAAATGCTGAGAGATTTTGGTTTTTTTTGTGTTTTTTTTCCCTGTGTCCAGTGTCTCTTAAGTTTACTTGTACTGTCTCCCAAGGGAAATGGAATGTAGAGCCTTTGAAAACATGCTAGAGGGTCAGCAATGAGCTGGTTCTGACTCACTGCCAGTGGGTTGAGTTAGTTTCGTAATCTAAGAAATATGAAGCCATATGCAGAGAATGGAAAGAGAATATTGTGGACTTTGCCTAGAATTATCTGATAGTTTTGGTTCTTGACTGTTTCTTTTTTTGCTTCGCTTGCTGAGGGTCTCCTGTTTGAATATTCTGTGCTCACAGTCCATGAGCTCGGCTGTACTAATATAGAAACATTCCATTGGGACTGTGTGACGGTTCTTATAAAGGGGCAATGCTGAGGGGTCAGTCATTATGTGGTGTCAAGCTGTCATGTGGTGCGAGAGTTAAGTGCTTGCTGCCATTGAAAGGTCAGTGGTTTGAACTCACCAGCTGCTGTACTGGAGAAAGCTGTGTCAGGGGCCTCATGTGAACATCTGCAGCCTTAGAAACACTATGGGTGGTCCTGTGGGCTCACTAGGAGTTGGAATCAACATGGTAGTAGTGTGTTTCTTGAATAAGAGCTCATTTCATGGAAGGTTGGGATTGACTGACACAGGTATTGGTAAGAGTAGGGTGCATCTGAGTACCTTGCCTGATAGTGTGCTGTCATGCACACTTTCTATTTCTCTCCAGCCTTCTTCCTTTCCCCCTTGCACATAGCATTGCTTTGTTGTGTATTTTAGTTTGTTTGTTTGGGTTTTTTTTTTCTCCTTTTTAAAAGCATAAAAGATAATAGAACTTCTTTGGAGAGCTTACATATGGAAAAGATGGAAATTATTAATTATGTTGTTGATTTTTGCCTTACTATTTTCCAGACCAAAATGGTACAGCACATTCGAAAGAAGCATCCGGAATATGCCCAGCTCCCCAGCGGTGTGCATGCCCCCTTGACCACAGCTGTGATCAGCACCACACCAGCTGTCTTAACCACGGACAGTGCCACTGGGGAGACGGTGGTGGTGAGTGTGTGGCCTCATATCCAGCCTGGCTTCAGATACCACAGCCATGTCTACTTTGCTATTATTCTTCTAGTTTCTGTGCATGGAGCACAATATCCTTCAGTTTTCTACACAAGTCGTTGTGTTTATTATTGAGTTTCCTGATTGGTACTCTTCAAAGTGCTCTTTGAAATAGGCAGCAAGAAAATTTCAGTGCTACTTGTTTGTGACAAGATTGGCAGAACATTGAGGATAACTTGCCTGGGTCCCAGGCAGACAGTCTCAGACATCCACCTCTATGTGTCTATGTGCTTGTGTGTCTCCCTATCTCTTGGGTGGTACAGACAATTTGTGCTCATTTTCTAATCTAAAGTTAGTGATTTGTACCCTCCCTGGGTAATGCAGTAAAGCCTGATGAGCTGCTTCCATTAAGATTACAGTAAAAACCCCAATGGAACACTTCTGTCCTGTCACATTGAGTTGCTGTGTTTGAATTGACTCAACAGCAATGAATGTTTATATATAAACACATGTATATACATAAATAAGTACATGTATGTGTTTGTGTACACACACACACACACACACACACACACACAAATGTTGTTAAGTGCCATTGAGTCAACTACCATGCACTGGGACCAATGAACAACAGAATCTTGTCCACCATCCACACCATCTTCATTATACGCAAGCCCGTTACGCTAGTCACTGTGTCAGTCTGTGTCTTTGAGGGTCTTTTTCTCTTTCCCTGACTCTTGACTTTTCCCAACATGCTGTCTTTTTCCAAGGACTGGCCCCTCCTGACAACATGCCCGAAGTAAGTGAGACAAAGTCTCACCAGCCTTGCATTGTAAGAAGCACCCTGGTTATACTTCTTTCAGGACTAATTTGTTTGATTTTTTGGCATATGGGATACTCAGTACTTTTTGCCAGCCCCACAATTCAGCATCATCAGTTCTTCTTCAGTCTTCTGTATTCATCATCCAACATTTTAGATGCATAGGAAGCAGTTAAAAAATACATGGCTTTCATTTTTGTTGTTGAGCTTTGAGTTGAGCACAACCAGTAGCAACTCTATGAACAAAAGCCTGAAGCCCCTCTATAACTATTGACATTTATCAAAGTTCATAGAGTTTCTGGAGGCATGTTATTTAGGAAGTGGATGCCACTCCTGCTTCCACATAGGCTCACCTTAATCTTTTAACCTGTTGACTTTAGCATAGTGCTCAGTAGCAGAGTGCACTGGTTCTTCATAGCAGATTTCCCTCATAAAACATGTCTTTGAATTTCTAATTATTCCTGAAATACTCACGTATTTATCACTTAATAATCACAATGCACAGAAGCAAAAGAGCAGGTTTTTTTTTTTAATTTATACAACAACTTAATAGGTATTGCCATGTAAAGATCTTTTTTATAAAATTTTTTAATGGTGATTTTTAAGAAAGTTTACAGAAAAGTTGAATTTTCATTTATTCATTGTTGCAGATTCCCCCTTCCTTTCCCCCAGTTCACTTTCTTTTTTTAAATTATTCATTTGTTGTTGCATAATTGGCTCCTCTCTGCCACTCCCCTGCCCCAGTCCTTTTTGCAGTGTACTTCTTGTTCTGGGCTGTTGTATAATGCTTAATCATATGTTCCTTTTAAACAGTTCTTTCCTTCATATGTTTTATTGCAGTGTTCATTATCTATCTGCTTTTATCCTATTCTCCTCCCAATTCCCCATGTCAGTCCTGCTTTAAACAGTGGTGCAATGCAGTATTTGTCATATCATGACTGAGATATTTCACTCAGCATAATGTCTTCTAGGGTCCCCCATAGTGTGTAATGGTTTACAAGTTCACTGTTTTTCAGTGCTGCATAGTATTCCATTATATGAATATACCATAGTTTTTTTAATCTATTCATTTGTTCATTGGGCACTTGGATTGCTTCCATCATTTTGCTATTGTGAATAATGCAGCAATAAACATGAGTGTATATACATCTGTTGGGATGGCGGCTCTGGTTTCTTTAGGGTATATTCCCAGTAGTAGCATTGCTGGGTCAAAATAGTATTTCTTTTTACAGCTTTTTGAGAAAGTGCCAGGTTGACTGCCTTCCATATTAGTTGTATCATTTTACATTCCCATCAGCAGTGAATAAGGGTTAAAATCTCTCTACAACCTCACCAACATTTATTGTTTGCTCCTCTGTTGAACTTTGCTATTGTTGCTGGGGTGAGATGATATCTCATAATTAATTGTTTTAATTTGCTTCTCTCTTGGAGATTGGAATTTTTAATATTTCTTCATGTGTTTGTTTGTCATCTGATTGTCGTCTTTGGTGAAGTATCTGTTCATATCCTATGACCATTTTGTGATTAGGTTTTATACCTTTTTCTTGTTGAGGTACTGGAGTGTTCTATAAATTTTAGAGATAAGTCCCTATCAGATAGATAGGTCATTACCAAATATTTTTCCCCCAGTCTGTGGCTTTTCATTTTACCCTATTGGAGAAGTTTTTGGATGTGCATAGGGATTTGATTCTTACAAGGTCCCATTCATCTATTTTATCCTCTCCTGGTTGTAGATTTTTCATTATGCTTGTTAGACTGTTCATACTGTGGATTAGGGTTTCTAGAGTTCTTCAAAACATTTCTCTGATGAAGTTTATCATCCTCCTTTACTCCTAGGTCCTTGATCCACCTTGAGTTGATATTTGTATATGGTGTGAGGTATGGGCCTTGCTTGAGTTTTCTACAGATAGTTTTCCAATTTTGCCAACACCAATTCTTAAAAAGGCTTTTGTTGTTGATTGCCTTTGAGTCGAATAAGACTCAGCAACCCTGTGAACAAAATTACTGAAGCCTTTCTACAACTATCGACGTTTTCAAAGCTCATAGTGTCCAGAAGTATGTTGTTTAGGAAGTGGATGCCACTCCTGCTTCCAAAAAAGGTTGTAGTTTCCCCTTTTAACCGATTTAATTTTCTTGTCAAAAATTAGTTGACCATAGGTAGATGAGCTGATTGCTGGGTTCTCAATTCTATTCCATTAATCTGTGTGTCTGTCACGATGTTACGGCAGAAAATGCGAGATTTATATGTTGTTGTTATGTGCCGTCGAGTCGCTTGCGACTCATAACGACCCTGTGTACAACAGCCCTAAACTCCGCTCTGTCCTGTGCCAATCGCACTGTCTCTGACACTCCTATCCCGATTATCCCAGTCACTGAATCAATCCACCCCATAGAGGGCCTTCCCCTCCTGTGCTATCCCTCCACCCTCCCAAGCATGATGTCCCTCTCCAAAGACTGGTCTCTCCTCACAACATGTCCAAAGTATGTTAGACGGAGCCTCAGAATCCTTGCCTCCAAAGAGCTACCCGGTTTATCCCTTTCCAGGACGTATCTGTTTTCCTAGCAGTCCATGGTATTCTCAATACTCTTCTCCAGCACCACAGCTCAAAGGCATCAATTCTCCTTCTATCCTCCTTGGTCATTGTCCAACGCTCTGATGCATAACAGGTGGTTGCAAAGACCATGGCCTGTATCAGACACACCTTAGTCTCCAAAGAGATACCATTGCTCTTCAGCACTTTGGAGAGGTCCCCAACAGCAGACTTTCCCATGGCAATGCGCCTTTTAATTTCCTGGCTACTGGTGCCGAGAATGTTGACTATGGAGCCAAGCAAACTAAAGCTGTGTACAATCTCAATCTCTTCATCCAATATCAGAGATTAACAAACCTTTTATTATACATGGGTCAAGAATGCCAGCTATTGCCCAAACGGTTCCAACACTGAGGGGATGCAAAGATTGGTTTTATAAACAGAGATTGGGCCTGGGGATTACACAAAGTTCATTGAGGTTGGCAGTTGAGATTTTTTCCCCATTCTGGAGTCATTATTGTTTCTGGCTTCTCATAGGTGTCCAGGCCCCAGACCAGGTACAATTACAAGATGTAGTCAGGGAGCAGTAACCAAGTTGGGTCAGCATGTACTAGGAAACATAAACCTTAGCAACACATATTATTGCCAAATTTATTGAAGCATGCATTTTGTAAAATGACTGTCAGAACAAATGATTTCTCTAATGCTTCGTATTTAAGCTGCTACTACAACTATATCAGTCCCACGTTGTGTAGTAGGATTTGAGATCAGGTAGTGTGATACCCCCTACCTTGTTTCTCTTTTTGAGAAGTGCTTTGCTTGTTTGGGGTCTCTTTCCTTTCCAAATAAAATTGGAAATTGCCTTTTCCATCTTATTGGAGAATGGAATTGGTATTTGTATTGGTATTGCATTGAACCTGTAGGTTGCCTCTTGTAGAATTATCATTGATGATAAAGGGATCCTTAGACAGATCACTGTGAATGACCTCCCTGTTGGTCGCTCTGTGGATGAGACTCTAAGACTCGTTCAGGCCTTCCAGTTCACGGACAAACATGGGGAAGTGTGCCCAGCTGGATGGAAGCCTGGAAGTGATACCATCAAACCTGATGTCCAGAAGAGTAAAGAGTATTTCTCTAAGCAGAAGTGAGCACTGGACGACCCAAAGTGCCAGGCTGCAGTGGGCAGCATTGAGAACAAAAACATCTTTTGTACATTCTTTGTGCTTAAAACACAAGGTCCTAGACTTGGCCAAGATGTGGTGTGTGATAGGATAGGTCTTTTCCAGCAGAGGTTGGGATGGACAACGTTCTTATGGCCTGAGCTATACTGTTGGATAGGCCAGCTGTTGTGTATTATGTACCAGTAGTAGTGGGACCTGAGAGTATTTATAGTTTCTATTAAACTTGTGAACCAAGAAAAAACAACAACAACAACAAAAAAAAAACCTAATAGGTCTGTCTTGGAGAGGGTTAAACCAAATCTTTTCTTGGAGGCTAGGATTTTGAAGCTCTATTTCACATACTTTGGGCATGTGGCCAGGAGAGACCAATTCTTCGTGAAGGACATCATGTTCAGAAGGGTGGAGGGACAGCACAGGAGAGGAAACCCCAGATAAGACTGGAGCAATGAGGGTTGGTGTGTCAGAATTAGTGAGACTGGCTCAGGACAGGGAAGGGTTCAGAGCTGCTATATATAGGGTCACTGTGGGTCACAGGAGGCTCGATGGTACATAACAATAACAGCAACAACAACACCCCACCCCCACCCATCCTCATTCCTGTGCTCTCACCCTCCTTCCCTTGGATCCTCATACTTGTTCTGTAATAATGGTCTTATACTGTATTTGTCCTTTTGGGACTGAGTTAGTTTACTTAGCATGATGCTCTCCACTCCATCTGAAGTTAGGTTATAATTTACAAAATTATTGTTTCTGCATGCCGCTATGTAGTATTCCGCTGTGTGAAGGTACCATAATTTCTCAGTCCATTCAGTTGTGGTCGGACATCTGGGCTGTTTCCATGCTCTTGCAATGGTGAATAACACTGCTGTAATCATTGGTGTACAAGTGGGCATTTGTGCCTTAGTTCTCAGTTTCTCAGGGTATATTCCAAACATTGGGATAGCTGGATCATATGGAATTTCTATGCTCGGTTTTCTGAGGAAGCGCCCAACTGCCTTCCAGTGTGGTTTTATAATCCATTTTATAATCCTACCAACAGTGTATAAGAACTCATATCTCCCCAGATCCTCTCCAACATTTATTACTTGCTGTCTGTTAAACTTTGCCATTGCTACTGGAGTGAGATGGTATCTCATTGTAGTTTTGATTTGCATCTCTCTTATTGATAATGATTTTGAACATTTCTTCATGTGTCTGTTCGCCATCCGGATATCTTCCTCTGTGAAAATTCTTTGCATGTCTTTTGCTCATTTTTTTTCTTCCCTTTTGATATGATTGCATCTTTGAATTTCTTGACTGCTATTACCGTGGGAGTGGATTGTGGATCAGAATAAGAGAAAATTGTTGACAATTTTAACCTTTTTTCTTTCTTTCATGATGCTATATTTTGGTTCCCTGGGAGGGTTTTCTTTTTCTTCACGTTAAGGTGTAATCTATATTGAAGACTCTAATCTTTAGTCTTCTGGAGTCAGTTACTTCAAGCCTCTTTCTCTTTCCACAAGCAGAGTTGAGTCATCTAAAATTATGCAGGCTACTTAGGAGTTTTCCTCTAACCTTGATGCTACTTTCTTCCTCATATAGTCCACCATCTCAAATGTATTTGTTCAGCAGAGAGATGGAATATTTATGGAAAATGGATACAGCTCTGACACGCACTCTTTCTGATTTTAAACCATGCAGTGTTCCCTTGCTCTGTTCAGACACCAGCTTCTTTGTCTAAGTATAGGCTTCCCATGAGCAAAATTAAGTTTTCTGAGATTCCCATTCTTCTCTGTTAGTCATAATTTGTTATGATCTGCACAGTCAAATACCTTTACATGATCAATAAAGTACATACAGACTTAGTCTGATATTCTCTGCTTTCAGCCAAGATCCAGCTGACATCAGCAATTATATCCTTCATACTACAGCCTCTTCTGAATTCAGCTTGAGTTCTGAAAGACCCTATGGCTATATTGTTATAGTTGTTTTTTCATAATCTTGAGCAAGATTTTATTTGCATGGGATATTAATGGCAAAGTTCAATAATTTCCACATTCTATTGGATCACTTTTTTTTGGAATGAAAAAAAAATTAATCTCTTCCTGTCAGTTGGTCAGATCTTCAAAATCTGTAGGCATAGTCTGTTGAGCACACTCAGAGTTGCATCTGTTTCCTGAAAAACATTAGATGATATTCCATCAGATTTTTTTGCCAATATACCATGAACAGCCAGAAGAACAAACAGCGTTGTCCTGGAGAGGATAAAACCTGGCTGCTTCTTGGAGGCAAGGATTCTGAATCTCTGTCTGATGTACTTTGGGCATGTTGTAACGAGGGACCAGACCTTGGAGAAGGATATCATGCTTGGGAAGGTGGATGGACAGAGAAAAAGGGGAAGGCCCTGGATAAGATGGATTGACTCAGTGACAGGGTTAGGTATGTCAGAGACAATGAGATTGTCTCATGATAGAGCGTTTAAAGACATCTGATTAAAAAAAAAAAGACATCTGATTCAAGCCATGGTATTTTCAATTGCTCCCTATGTATGTAAAATTTGGACAATGCATAGGGATTACAGAAGATGTGATACTTTCTAATTAATGGTGTTGGAGAAGAGTATTGAATATCCCATAGACTGTCAAAAAGCAAAACAAACAAACAAACAAAAAACACCATACAACCAGGGTGCTCCCTAGAAGACAAGGATGGCTAATAAAACTTTATTTCACATACTTGGGGGCATGTTGTCAGAAAAGTCAAGTTCTTGGATAAGGAAATCTTGGTGGGGTGGGGGAAAGCAAGAGAAGATCCTCACTAAGATGGACTGACATAGTGACTATAACAATGGGCTTGAGTATTATCATCGGATCGTGTAGATGGTACAGGATTCAAATCTCCTGTTCATAAAGTTACTATGAGTCATAGATGATTAACAACAATTGCATATGTGCTTTATATATATATATATATATATATATATAATATGTTTTATATATCTGTATCTATATCTATCTATGTCATTTGAAGCTTCGGTGGTCTAGTCTATAAGGAGTTTCTCTCCTAACATAAATATGAGACCTCTCTGGAAATTTTAATCCACCAGGAGCTTTGAAGGAAAAAGATAGGGAATATCATCTCATGTGATTTATAGATTCAGAAAAGCCACTGGCGAGTCAGCTCTACGTCAGTTCTACTTCAACAGCAATGAGTGTAGTTTGAGTTGTATATATATAAAACAGTAGGCTGTTATAAATATATCTGTATCTATCTCTATCTCTATATCTATCTATATATATTTCTCAACTATACACATGAACCTCATCAGATGAATTATATCTGTGGAAAAAGTTAATGGAGAAGCTCAATGTCAGTAGTTAAAAAGAGGCCAGGCACTTACTGTGGAACAGACCATCAATTACACACTTGAAAGCTCAAATTGAAACCAAAAAAAATTAAAACAAGTCAAGGAGAACCAAAATATGACCTAGAGTCTATCTTGCCTGTATTTAAAAAACATCTCAAGAACATATTTGATGCAATGAACACTAATGACTGAAAATCAGATGGATGACACTAAGGACATCATCCTTGAAGGAATAAAAAGGTTATTATGAAGATAGGAGAAAAAGAAAAGGCCAAAATAATGTCAAAAGCAACTATGAACTTGCACTGTAATAAAAAGAACCTAACTCAAGGTGAAAGAATGCTGAGGTATGAGAGCTAAATGGAAGGCTTCAAGGATAGCTCAAGAAAATAAAATGAAGTTTTATAATGAAATGTGCAAGAAGCTGGAGTGAAAAAAAACCAAAAGGGAAGAACATACTCAGAATTTCTCAAACTGAAAGAACTAGAGAATAAATTAAACCCTCAATTGTGATACTGAAGAAATCCAGGTCAAAATCTTGAATGAGGCAGGACACATCAAAGGAAGATGAAGGAATATATAGAGTCACTACAATAAAAAGAATTAGTTGATATCAAATTGTGTCGGGACGTTATCAGTGGTAATGAAGAAAGGACATCCAAGTTGCGTTGAAGGTAGTTGTTGTGTATTGTCAAGTTGCTTGCAACTCAAGTGACCATTTGCACAACAGCTCTGTATCCTGCTTTTTAGTACTGTAAAGAGGTCCTTGACAGTAGATTTTCTCAGTGCAACAAGTCTTGATTCTTTTTTTAAGAAGATTTTTTAGTTATTTTATTATTTTTGTGTGTGTACCGTCAAATCAGGTCTGACTGGTACAGGAGGAGATTGCCCCTACTCCAGCACAGCATCTGGTGGATTTAAATCACATACTTCTGGGATTGCAGTGCAGCTTCTTGACACTAGGCCACCAAAGCTCCCTATGTCTTGATTCTTGATTGCTGTTCAATGAGTGTTGATTATAGAGCCAAGTAAAATGAAATCGTTGACAGCTTCAATCTTTGCTTCCTCTATCATGATGATACGTACCGGTCCAATGGTGAGAATTTTTCTTTTCCTGATATTAGATGTAATCCATCTTGAAGGCTGTAGTCATTGATCTTCTGTAGCAAGTGTTAGGAGTCCTCTTCGCTTTTCGTAAGCAAAGTTGTCTAATCTGTTTACTGCAAGTTGTTGTTGAGTCTTCCTCCAATCCTGATACAACATTCTTCTTCATATAGTCAGTCTAGCTTTTTCAATGATTTGCTCAGTGTACAAATTGAATAGGTATGGAGGAAGGATACAACCCTGATAGACAGCTTTCCAGATTTTAACCCACATATTGTTCACTTGCTCTGTTTGGAAAATAGCCTTTTGGTCGAAATGTAGGTTTCCCATAAGCATAATTAATCTGGGATTCCCATTCTTCTCAATGTCAGCCATAATTTGTTATGAGCCACATAGTCAATGCCTTTGCATAGTCAAGAGAACACAGATAAACATTTTCTGGTATTCTAACTAAGTTGGTTTTGGGTTTGTTTTGTTTTTTTTATCTTCTTTCATCATCTTCTCAGACTCAGTTTTTTCCTGTCATGGATTTGGATCTCTTCTGTAATGTGAGATTCTACCAGTGAAGCAAACTAACTAAAGTTTGGTAGGATTTAAGAACATTGAAATAGCTACCAATTACCATTTTTTGTATGTTTTTTCCTAGACAACTGACCTGCTCACTCAAGCCATGACAGAGCTGTCGCAGACTCTAACAACTGACTACCGGACCCCACAGGGGGATTACCAGAGAATTCAGTACATCCCTGTGTCGCAATCCACCTCTGGTCTCCAGCAGCCACAGCACATACAGCTGCAAGTGGTGCAAGTGGCCGCGGTACTGTCCAATGTTGTTTCTCTTTACTTGTATAAAAGCCATAGTGTCCTGGACTAGCTGGGTATCTGTAGTCCACACAAATATTTGGTTTGCGAACTGAAACTGACCTCTACATAATATACTTCTATGTTGACATCTAAGTCTAATCCATTGATTAAACCACACCTCTCTTGCTTCCATGCTCCCTTTGAGGGCTCTGGACTTAGCAGTGTGGGCGATTTCCTTCTGTAATCTTGATGAGATTTTAGGCTTCAATTCATATACAGCTAGCATACTGCAAGAAGGACCTATTTCTGAGCTCCGACAGAGTGTCTTCTGTTTCCTGGGCTGCCTACTACCTAGTGATGTTGTTGTTGTGTGCCATTGAGTTGGAAACCACCACAGCTAACCCTTCAACAGGCTTTCAGAAGCAGTAATTGCTTAGGAGAGAATGGGTGTTTTTGGAAGGAATGTTAAGATTATAACTCTGAATATTAGTACCTATTTTTATGAATTGTTGTTATTATGTGCTGTTGAGTCAGAACTGATTTGTAACTGACTATCCAATGGATTTTCAGAAGTAGGATATGGTGATTGCTCTTCTTTCTTTTAGTGGATTTGAGCCACCTTTGGGTTCACATATACCTCCATACCCACTAGCTTATCAGAGATCCCCCATTAGGATCTCTGAATTAGTAGTTCATTTCTACTGATTCTTACTGATTAGGGAGCTGAAAAAAGAAATTCTCCCAGAGCTTTTGTTGCATTTAATGTTTCCTCCTGATGCAAATAAGCAAACTTACTGCTTTGACCTAATTTGGTCTCTGAAAATGTTTTTTATTTTATTTTATTATTTTGTGTGTACTGTCAAATTGGATCTGACTGGTACAGGAAGAGATTGCCCCTCCTTCTCCAGCAGAGCATCTGGTGGATTCGAACCACGTGCCTTTGGGATTGCAGTGCAGCTTCTTGCCACTAGGCTACCAGAGCTCCCTTGGTCTCTGAAAATGTTAAACTTCCTGATCAGGAAATTAGAAGTTGCTTCTATCATTTCATTGACTATTCATTACTCCATCTTATCTTTATTAGGGAAGTTCTTAACTTTAGATTTTGAAGGGATCTATAACTCCACAAAAGTACTTGCCAAATATGCTCTGTGTATCTGCACATGCCCGCCCCTCTCTCCCCCCACTCTCTCTCTCTGTTTTGGGAATGAGGCTCATGGTTAGTTTTTACATTTTTCAGAGATATCTGTGCTACATAAAAGGTAGGTACTATTATCAGAGCTTATTATTAGGGGTAACAATGACAAACTAAAGGCAAATTCTCTTAATTGATTTCTTATTAATGCATTGGAATAAAAGGGAAAAAGCTTTTTTGTTCCTGAGAGTTTTGCATTCAACCTATTCTGAGATGCCATGTCGCCTTTTTCCCCTTCCCCTGGAATTCAGTTGTATTAGTGGTTTATGATGTTTTATAATCTTCATGTTGCAAAACTAATGTTTGGCAGCTGGCGTTAGGTGTAAGTTTTCTGGGAGAAGAACAATGTATCTGAAGGACTGACTATTCTGCATTTCTGTTGGGCCTAGTTTTTAAGTGAGTGGATTTTCCTTGGCCTAAATCACTATGAGTTGGTTTCTGGTAAATTTTTCCTCCAGGCCACTTCACCTCACCAGTCTCAGCAGTCCACTGTAGATGTTGGTCAGCTCCATGACCCTCAGACATACACCCAGCATGCTATTCAGGTGCAGCACATCCAGGTCACTGAGCCCACCACCTCGGCTCCTTCCTCATCTCAGGTGAGTTTCTCACAGTTTCCAGACAGTCTTACATGGCTGCAGGGGCTGTGAGGAGTTGTGAGTGTAAAGACACAGACAGGGCTACATTACTACTAGCCCTTCTAGTTCTGTCAGGCCCAAACCATCAAAACTGGTACAGACTCAAATTTTTTAAATTGAGTGAACTGAACAGGAAAAATTACAGTCAAAGCCTTGTTAGGAACTGAATCTTCTTACTAGGAAGTAGGGACAGAGTACAACATTGCATAGTGATTAAATCATAAACCTGTCAGATTTTGAACAGAGTTGGAAACAGTGGTGCCAACTCAAATGTGGCTTATTTTGTCACTCTGAATGTGTGTTACTTTCCGTAGTACTGTTACTAATCCAGGCTCACTCATCTGACTCCTGCAAGGGTTCACTGTAACTCTTCCATATCACCCCTTCCAGGGTTTCCACTCATAATTTTTCCTGTTTCAGGTCACTCAAATTATTATTTGAGTATTTTTCAGTTTGTTTCATCAGCCATAACTTAACAGGTTTAAACCAATTCAAAATTCTTAAGACATGCTCTTCAGACATAGATCTTTCTTCATTTCCAACTTAGTTTCCAACTATAAATTCATTGTTGTTGAATACCATCGAGTCAGAACCAACTTTTAGCTGACTCTCCAGAGTATTTTCAGAGGCAGTAAAGTGCGTAGGAGGAGATTGCGCATCTTTCTCCCACAGAGCAACTGGTGCATTCGAACCACATACTACCTTTGGGTTGGCAGTGCAGTTCTTTATCACTAAGCTACCAGAGGTCTCCCAACTGGAGATACAATGGCTGCTATAACATAAATACAAATGGGAGACAGAATTTTATTTTCTCAAAGTTTAGAGGCTAGAGGTCCAGATTCAGGGCAGCAGTTCCAGGGGAGATTTTCTCTTTTTGTCACTCTGGGAAGAAGGTCTTTGACTCTTCAGCTTATGTATGTTCTTGTCTTCTTTGGCTGTCTTCATGCTACAGTCCATGTGGGGAGCACATGATTAGTAAAAAAACCCCCAAAACTCCAAATGACACATGTGTTGTTTGCATACAAATATGGTAATTATACCTTCATTTATCTTTCTAAAAAGTTTTTCAAATGAGACTTTTGGGCACTCTTCAAGATAAGCCTCTGGAAGCTCATCCTAATTATGAGTGCTTTCAGTAATTCTGTTCCACTCAGTGTATCATTTAGGAGTTGATGCTTTCAGTATTATAATCCATATTATTGCTGTTTGGAGTGGTGCAGCCAGTCTTTGGCACATAGCAACCCCATGTGACAGAGTACTGTCTATAGGGTTTTCTCAGAGTCTTTGCAGGAGCACACTGGACGGTCTTTCTCCTCTGGAACCACTGCTTCAAGTACCTGCATTTCTGTTAGCAGTAGAGTGTTTAGTTTTTGCACCATTAGGGTTCTTATAATTCATATTAGTCTTATTTATCTACTTGAGATATTTGTGAGTCTCAGCCATAATTGGTTATTCCTGATTTCCCTTCCTTGCTTTCTCTTTGTTGCTAGGTAGCTGGCCAGCCATTGAGTCCTTCTGCCCAGCAGTCTCAACAGGGTCTCAGCCCCTCCCACATACAAAGCAATTCCTCAGGCCAAGGCCAGTCTCTGCAGCAGCACCAGCAGCAACCGCAACAGCAGCAGCAAAGTTCATCTGTACAACAACACACATATCTACCCAATGCTTGGAATTCCTTCCGAGGCTACTGTAAGTGCGGGAAAGGGACGGCTCTATGAATCATGGATGCTCATAATTACATCAGCTCTACAATTGATTTTCTGGATTATCATATTAGTTGGTCATTTTCTACATTTAATAGTGCAAGTATCTGAAAGAGTCCCATCCCGTAATTTAGGCAGTCTTCTAATCTTGGTGAGATCCCTGATAAAGCATTTTCATTGATAGTAGATATTCAGTATATTACTAGAGGCAGTTCATACAAGTTGATTTAAACAGTAGAATATAAAGATGTAGGATATGTTGATGGTAATGATTCATCTCTATCACATTTATTGAATGCTTATTTAGCAATCACTATTAGACATTTGTTGTTGTTTATGTGCCGTCAAGTCACCTACAACTCATCATGACACTGTGTACAACAGCCTTGAAGCCGGCCCTGTCCAAAGCCAGTCTCGCTGACTCTGACACAGTCCATCTCATATGGGATCTACCTCTCTTGTGCTGTCCCTCCACCCTTCCAAGCAGGATGTTCTTCTCTAAGGACTGGTCCCTCCTGGCCTTGTGCCCAAAGTATGTGAGAGAGCTTCAAAATCCTAGCCTCCAAGGAGAAATTTGGTTTCATCCTCTCCAAAACAGACCTATTTGTTTTCTTGGCAGTCCATGGTATGTTCAAGTCTCTTCTGCAGCACCACAACTCAAATGCATCAATTCTTCTTCTGTTATCCTTAGTCATTGTTAAACTATCTGATGCAAAGCAAGTAATTGCGAAGACCGTGGCCTGGATCAGGCACACTTTAGTCTCTAGACTGACATTATTGCTTCTGAGTACTCTGGAGAGGTCCCTGACAGCAAATTTTCCCTGACTAATTCATCTTTTGATTTTCTGACTGCTGGTGCCAAGAGGGTTGATTGTGGAGCTGAGCAAGCTATAATTGTTAAGATTCTCAGTCTCTTCTCCATCTATCATGGTGCTACCAATTGGACCAGTGGTGAGAATCTTTGTCTTTTTGATGTTGGGCTATAGTCCATACTGAAGACTATAGTCCTTCACCCTCTGCAGCACGTGCCTCATGTCCTCCTCAGTTTCAGCACACAGGTTTGTGTCATCAGCATAACGTAGGTTGTTGATGAGTCTTCCTCCAATCCTGATGCCCCATTCTTCCTCATAAAGTTCAGCCTCCCGAATTATTTATTCTGCATATAGATTGAAAAGGTATGAAGACAGGATGCATCCCTGATGCACTCCTTTCCTGATTTTGAACCATGCAGTGTGTCCTTGATCTGTTCTGAGGATTGCTTCCTGGTCCAAATACAGGTTTTGCAGGAGCTCTATCAAGTGTTCTGGGATTCCCGTTCTCTTCAAGGTTAGCTACAGTTTGTTGTGATCCAGTCAGATACCTTTGCATAGTCAATGAAGCACAGGTAGATATCCTTCTGGTATTCTTTGCTTTCTGTTGAGATCCATCTGACGTTGGTAGTAATGTCTCTAGTGCCACAGCCTCTTCTAGACCCAGCTTGTATTTCTACTAGTTCTCTGTCAATGCACTTACTGTTGCAGTCGTTTGGGATAATCTTTAGCAGGCTTTTGCTTGCATGTGGTTTTAGTAATACTGTTCGATAATTTCCACACTCTTGTCTGGTCACCTTTTTTTTTTTGAATGGAAATAAATATGGATCTCTTCCAGTCAGTTGGCCAGGTAGTTGTCCTCCAGATTTCTTGGCACACCCTGATGAGCATGTCCAGGGCAGCATCTCTTGAAATATATCTATTGGTATTTTGTCTATTCCCAGGGTTTTATTTTTTGCCAAGTCCTTCAGAGCAAGGACATTAGATATGCAAAAATTAACATTAATATGAATAACAGTTACAGTTTCCATGTTAGCTAATAGTGGAGGCACTAGTTGTTCGGTGGTAAAGTTCTCACCTTTCATGAAGATAGACCTAGGTTTGGTTCCCAGCTAGTGCACCTTGTGTGCAACCACCACTTGTCTTGTCAGTGGAAGCTTGCGTGTTGTTTTGATGCTAAACAGGATTCAGCAGAGCTTCCAGATGAAGTTGGGCTAGGAAACTCAGCTAGTGGAAACTGTGGTTCTCAGTGGTTCATCAGTAGTCAGTTGTTGGTACAACACAGAACTAGCCTTCTGTTCCATGCCGTGCTTGAGACCATTGCTGAAGTCATTGTGTCAATCCATTATGTTAAGAATCTTCCTCTCTTTCACTGACCTTCCACCTTTCCAAGCATGATATTCCTTCCAAAGAATAGTTTCTCCTAGCAACATACCCAAAGTATATAAGATGAAGTTTTGCCATCCTTGCCTCTAAGGAGCACTCTGGTTGCTTTTTATCTAAGACATAGCTGTTTGTTATTTTAGCAGTCCATGGGATCTTCAGTATTCTTCTCAAATACCACAAGGCAAAGGCATCAGTTTTTCTTCTACTATCATATTTATTGTCCAGCTTGCAGATGCATAGCAAGTGATTGAAAAGACTATGGCCTGAATTATGCTTACTTTAGTTTTCAGATGAATTTCATTGCTTCTTAGTACCTTGGCAAGGTTTATGGCACTAGACTTTCCTAATGCAGTACATCTTTTGATATCTTAACTGCTGATACCAAGGGTGTTGATTGTGAATCAAAGTAATATGAATCCTTAACTCAAAGAGACATCATGAATTGTAGTAACATGTAAATGATAGATTCCAAAACTCTGATATCTGTGCTGAGGAAGTAGTAATTGACTGGTTGCCAAAGAGAAGAACAGGTAAAAATCTTGATGTGGATGACAGATGTTTGGGTATGAACTCATTCTCATTTATTACTGTTGAGTTGGAACCAAATCATAGCTGACTCTCTAGCAGGTATTACAAAGCTGTAAATTTCATGAGAGGAGATTACCCACCCTTCTCCCATGGAGCACAGTGGATTCAAACAGTCAGAGAGCCAGAACTCCCTATCCACTATGCCACCAGAGCTCCTTTGGTCATAGTCTTATAACTTGTTTTCAAATATGGAGGAGGAAAGAGACTGATAGTTCCCAGATTGGGATAGGAGTTTATCAAGGGCTTACTCACAAGGTGACATCCTGGGCAGCAGCAAGGTGGACTCAAGCCTCTGTATTCCCCAGTCAGAGAGAGGGGTTTCTGTGACCTAAGTGAATAAATGTGGCTTCATGCCAGGACCCTGAACCTCCACAGCCACCCCAGCATGTGTTTTAGTAGATGGCAGTAAGCTTTCAAAAAAGCAAGAACGGAGCCATATTCAGTCTCCAAAAGCCTTTTCCCCTGGGTGTAAATAAACCTGGAGGCTAGTTCTTAAAATATAGCACACATTCTTGTCTGCAGGGTCTCAAAGGGCCTTGAGGAGAGATGCTGTGACTCTAGTAGGGACACATAGCACTGTTGTCACTGGAGCCACAGACTGTCACAGCAATACAGGCAAACATGACAAAACAACCTTGTACTCAGGAACAAACTGCCATGCAGGAGAATCCCTCACCAGCTAGAGGAGAAGACGAACAACAGGGCAGCTCCGAAGGTCATTCATCAAGTGTGTCTACAACCTCTAGTGTTTCTTCATGAAGCCTAATAAATAATTTTTTACCTAGTATACAGGTTATATAACAGCATATGCCCCAACTTTAATGGTGTTATGTCCAGGGCCCGTTTGTTCTGGAGGACTACCTTACTTCTAGCAGTTATGAGCCTCAACTTTTCTTTGCAGTCATTTGAGGCCTATTTTGTACAGTTCATCAAAGGGTTGGTTTGTCCTATGTTATCCACAGTGCCAGGTAAATGGACAAAGACAGTAAAAAGATGGTCAAGCCAGTGGAAGACAGTGTTTGCCATGAGGCAGGTAAGTGTTTTTGGTAGATTCCTTATGCTAATCCCTCGCAGTGTACGGCAGCCTCACGGTGCAGCAGCTTACACAGCTGTGCCGTAACCAGGCCCACAGGCTGTAGTCATACACTCATCAGGTGCCCTTAGGAGCAAGGAGGGTGTGCTCTTTTGCTTCCCCAACCATCCAGTACTGCCACCTCCTGGCAGTGGGATGAGAAATCCCAGCCCACTTTCAAGGGAGGGACTTAGATGGAGCCAAGGGAACCCATGGTGTTTACTTGCCTTAATACAGACAAAGGCGGATTTCCTCAGCACACACTGTGTGGTTATAAAAAAAAAAAGAGATAAACACTAAAAAAACAAAACAAAACAAAAAACCCAACTACCTAAAGAAAGTGGTACATGACCAGGACATACTGTGTTTTCTTAGGATGGGGTTTCTGCAACCATCTAGGCCCTGGGAATGGTGAGGTTGTGCCCCTCTTCTCCTGATATTTTCCACATTGCCACAGAGGATTGAACAAGCCCCCGGGCCTCTAATGACTATCCTGTCAGTTCTGACCTGTCTACCAGTTGTAAGGCATGACTTCAGCCCCTGAGCAGGGAGACTGTCCACAGACCCAGGAGCTTTTTTGGGATGCACTATGACAAGTCTGTGAACACACATCTAGGAAGATGTTGGCAGCCTGAAAGGGAAGAAAACAGGATAGGCCATTCCTGTGGTTTCAAAGATGGGTGTTTAATAGGTACCAGGATGGGAAACTCTTTCCTTCTATTAGGCTTCCACTCATGGCTTCCCCTTGGGTGGGGGAAACAGCAGCATTTTTCCTCCTTGAGATACCATACATGCTTCCCAGAGGAGGCTACCTGTCTTGCTGCATACCTGAAATACTCACTGCCATCGTTCCAGTACAGGTGAGGCTTTAATGTTGAGACTGTCCATGCAGCGCAATGTTGGCTTTTTAGTCAGTGCCTCTGCCTGTCAAATCACCACAAGTGGATGACTTTACCAACAGGAATGTATTTTCTTAGTGTTTAGGAGGTTCTGAGTCCAAATCCAGGGTACCAAATCTAGAAGAAGGTCCTCTCTCAATTGTAGAAGAAAGTCCTGTTTCCTTCAGCATCTGGAAGCCCAGTTTTACCTAGAGGCCTCCATATGTTTTAGCCTTTTCTAGTGTCAAGGAAT